CTACATTCTAAGCAGATTGGAATAGTAGCTACTCCCCAACCTGTCCATTCCATACCTTCTGCCTCTGTGCATTTTCCAGGTCATTCTCTTTATCTGAAATCTGCTCCTGCCTCATCTCTGCTTTTCTGAATCTTTCTTTTCCTTCAAAGCTCAGGTAGGTGCCATTTCCCCCATGAAATTTCCTCTACTCTCTGTTATTAGTTCTCTCTTTTCCTCAAGGTAGTTTATATTTGATGATTTGGGTACAAGTTATAGTCTTAAATAGAATATAAACTCCTTTAGGGCAGGGACCAGTTTCTTCTTGTCTTCTTGTCTTTCTTCTTGTCCCTGGTGCCCAAATAGTATATTGCACACTGTAGATTTTAAATAAACGAGTTGAAAGGAAGTTTCCTTAATCCTCTAAGCCCAGAGTGATGTTAGACTTCACTTTCCTTCACCACCATATTTCCTGTGATACCTGGTTGTTCCTTTGCTTTAGCATTGGTCTAACCTGCCCTTTCCTAGTTATTTCCAATGATATTATCTTGCCACCTGGGTTATTATCACAGTCCCTCTCTTGCCTAGAGCTTTGCCTTCCAGTATAACCATTATGCTATTTTTGACTTGTATCTATGGACCAGATGTTGCATAGTCTCCCTGACTGAAGTACTTATGTGTACCCATCTAAGGAATATACTACTCTATGTATCCCTGCCCTCTCCTCCCACCTCCACCCCAATCAGTATCCTTGACCCCTTTGAACAGTTTTCCTGTTCTTCTACCCATTTAGGTACAGATCCCTACTGTGTTGTTCATTTTCCAACTTAACCTACTGCAAGACAGATCCTCAGCTTTCAGTAGACTCACTGGATACCTTCTTAGACCTCTTGTCATAGACATGGATTCCTAGCTCTTATGCCATTTTGTAGCTCAGAGCTGCTGGCTGATTCCCTTGGGGTTATACGGTCAACTCAATCCACTTCCACAGGCTTTTATTAAGCTACTATACTAATAGGTGCTTGTTGAATGAATGGATGAATTTGTGCCACATACTGTTAGATGCTAGGGATACAAAGACAAAAATAAACCATTTCTGTCATCAGAGATTACATTCTATCTGTGGGGTGGTGGTAGCTGTACAGTATGTACAGAAGTGTAATACAGGAAAAAATGAAGAGAGCGCACTCTGGTGTGTGTGTGGTGTGTGTGTGCGTATGTGTGTGTGGTGGGAGGGAACAGAGAAAGCTTCATGTAGGAGGTTGCATCTGAATTGAGCCTTGGACAAAGACAAGATTCTGAAGGATGTGGATAGGAAGGGTTGTATTCCAGGCAAGGGCAATAGCTTGTGCAAATGCCCTGAGGTGGAAGATGGAAATGGATATTGATTAGTCTGAGTTTTTAAAAGTTCACTTAAACTTGCTTATTCCCTTGAATTCTACTTTTTACTTGGGTATAGAGGGTATAGAGTGAAATCTTTATGAACTCAGGGTACCTGACCTAAAAATAACATCAATGAAGATGAGGGAGAAAAGGGAGAGATGCTGCATGGGAAATGAGAAGTTATAATAAAAGCCACAAAGTGGTTGAGGCCTAGGAGGAAGAAAGAAGAGTAGGGGTGAGAGGGAAAAAGGGGAAGATGGAAAAGAGAGAGAGAGAGAAGGAAAGGAAGAGGAAGTGGAAAGGGAGAGGCATAGAGATGCATTTGTACTGAAAAACAGCATAAACTGAAGAAAAGAAACATAGCTGCTTGTGCCAAAATGTTAAAAAAGCAGTCTTACCCAACTGTCCCTTTGGCCTCTGAGGATTCATTACCATTGGCCGGATTCTTGCCTATCATGTGACTCCTCCCCAGGATTTGTTCTTACTTCTCTTCCCTGGCATAATCAGGTGGAGTGGTGCTCCTCTTAATCTGAGGCTTCACCTAAAACCACCAGACTCATATCCACTCATTGATGCTTTTCCTTATTCCACAGGCCCCAAAATGGCCCAGTCTTTCTATGCTATCCTATGTAAAGTTGCAGAAATAATTTTCTTAAGTATAATTTTGATTATGTCTTTCCTAGAATGGTTTCCAACCAGCCTCTTGCAAGAGAACTGGGTTCTTTAGCATGTGCTTCAAGATCCACTCCACACACCATCCCCTCCCTGCCACTGCCTAGCCTATCTACCTCTCTTCCCAGCTGAACGCTGCTCTAGCCAATCACACCTACTCATACTATGTCTACATGATGCTCTGGCATGTGGTCAATCCAGTCAAATATTCAGTTAATCATCTAGATGTTTTGTCTACATGAGGCCAAACATCTGGATTGGCTGAATATTTTACTACACTGACTAAATTTTAAAAAAAAAAAGGACTGAATCGACCAGATGTTTTGGCATTGTGTTGACACAGCTTTACTATCTTCCGCATATGACTTCATAGCTTGTCTCGATGCACAGCATTCTCCCCACCTGGAGAAGCCTCCCTCCTCCTTTATTTCATACCATGTCCCTCCCCCCTTTTACTTTCTGTTCAGAATTCCCCAATCCTAGACAAACATTATTGGGTTCTGATCATCTCTTCTCACTCAACTTCATTCATGTTATTATTTATAGCTTTCATTACTATTTTTACACTTTTAATGAGGTCCTTTTTATGTTTCTATGCTTTTTTTTCTCACATGCACAGTTACTGTAAGTGCCTAGAGGTCAGGGATTAGATATTATAATAATACTATTAATGAATTAACACCTGCAGTACTTTGTACCCATTAATTTCACTTGATTCTTGGGAGGCAGGTAGCATACATCCTCACAGCTTGACTTGGGAAGTTAAATGAGGTATGACAGATCCCACTTGTGACCCCCTGAGCTGCTCGTATTGGGTGGGGTGGGGAGAACAAGTATTGGCAATAAGATTGAACTGAGCTATACAAATGGTTAACTTCCTGGTCTCCCATATATTTTGATTTCCTGATTGAATATATGCCTGAAAACTTGCTTCTCACAATTCGGTCCTAGGATCTCAGGGCTCTGTGGATACCCAGGTGCTAACCCACCCTGGATTTTCAGTTCTCATTTGATGTTGACTCTACCTGCTTGGTGCCAGGCAGGGATTACTTTTTCCTTGCCTAGAGAACTGCCAATCATTACTGGCCCTTCTTCTGACAGGGGGTGACAGATAAGATAGATATTATTATTCCCATTTGGCAGATTAGAAAATTAAAGCACAGAGATTAAACTGAAGGGCAGAGACAAAGAAGGGTAGAAAGCATACGGGTTCTAATCCTGTCTTTCACAATCATTGGCTATGTGACTCAGAAGTTGCTTAACCTCTCTGGGCCTAGTTTCCTCACTGTAACCATTCTATGACTTAGTCTTCAAAAGCTATTGTGGCTGAAATATTTAACACCTTGTACTCAAACTACTGATAAACCTTTTTTTAATATAGATAGGCAGGTCTTCAGAAGAATATATATTTCTGTTACCAGGGCCACATGCAAAGCCCTTCCAGCTTGGTAGGACTTATCAGAGCTTGTGCTCCGTTGTTGTTGTTCACCCTTCATTTCAGGAGAGGACCAATGACTTCACAGTCCTTCACTTACATGTGAATCGGGTTTAAGTGAGGCAGAGTTGCACAAAGTCATCAGCCTCACTCTCTCTTGTATGATCACTCTAGTCCAGAAGCAAGACAAAAGTCCAGACAACCGGTGATGGCCCAGGGATGCAATGGATGACCTTGTTGTCCTTCATGTCTGAATGGAAGCACACCATAGGACCTGCTTGAACCACCTTTAGGGCCTTGGAACAAACTGTTCTTACCTGCCCATTCCACCAGAGGAAGTCTTTACATGCTTGGAGTAGACACCTCCCTAACTCACGGATGGGTTTGTGGCCTGTTGGTTACCTCTTACATCCATCTCCTTTCCTCCACTAAACAAAGCTAGCCTCATAGTTCAGGTATACATCACCTCTTACCTAGACAATAGCCTCCTGTTTGGCCTACCTACCTTGTCTTTCTCTACTCCAACCCATTCTCCATACACCACTGCCATAATGATTTTTCCCAAAATTCAGGTATTACTATTTCATTCACTTTTTTAATAAATTCCAGTGGCTCTCCATTACTTCAAACAGTGGTTGTGTTTTTTTTTTTTTAATTAACCCCTTTTGCAGTTTGGTGAAGCCTATGGAGCCTTCTAGAATAATATAGGATCACAAAGGAAACTAATTACACTGACATATAGTTATCAAGACATAAATTAAAGTTTACAGGTCTCAGAAGTCTTCAAAGATGAAACATAAACTACTCTGTTTGGCATCTAAAGTCTTTCACATAGTCTACCACTCTAACTGTATTACATATTAGTCCTTCTAAGTACAGTATGGTCTAGCCAACCTGAACTTCTTCCTGTTCCTCAAACAAGACATTCCACCTCCAGTCTCCATCCTTTTGTATTGTCTTTACCATATGCCTGGAATGCACTCCCTTCCCACCTGTCCTTTTTAGACTCTCTACCTTCTTTCAGGGCTCTCAGGTGGAGAGCTGCCTTCTATGTGAAACCTTTCCTTATACCCCCAGCTGCCTTGTTCCTCACCCCACAAATGAGCTCTTAACTACTTTGTACCTACACGTATATGTAGACGAGCATGTATATATGTGTATATATGTATGCATGTACACACATGCATATCCACATATGTATGTATGTATATATGTGTATATGAAGGTTGTCTCCTCTGGTTACATTGTCAACTACTTGAAGGCAAGGAGTATCTCACTTTTGTCTCTGTATCCCTAGCAGGTACTCAATAAATGCTTGTCATCAACTGACAGTTCCATACGACACCAGGACATAAGTATATAAAATGAAAGATCCCAAATGTTCCTTATCCAACTACTTTCCCAGCAACTGGGTGAAACACTTGCAGACACAGGCATAAAAAAACTATCATTTGTTAGATGGCTTATATGTTTATCTTCATTCAGTTCAATCATTTAGTATTAAAATAACCATTTGCTCACCACATAACAAGAGTTTTTCAAATAAATATGTTTTATGATTTACATTTTGAGTACTTACAACAAAACAAGCACCGTTACTAACTGTGGAAAAAAAGTATGGTGATTTTTGGTAAAGATTATCCTAAGATTATCCTAAACATTAGTAAAAGGTCAGAAGATTACGTGGAATGTTTGAAATGGCTATTGTTCATCAAACAGGGAAGATGAGCCAATCCATTTTTGCAAAGATCTAGAGGACCGTCGTTTGGCTGTCGTCAAGAAGGTGGCTTTCAAAAAGATGTTTCTGTGGATCAGGTAAAATGAGTTAATACCATGATCTAATCTAAAAGAAAAAAAAAAGTTAAAGGAATAATATCGAGCAGATGTGGAAGAGAGAGAGACCAGACTGCTGTCTGCATTTAATTACCTAGAGAAAAGATTGTCTTCCAGTCTTCTCTCCAGGTAAGAATCTCTCTCTCTCCCCTCTTCTTTCTTTTCTGGGATATATTCTGTACTTGGTTATTTAAAGGCAGTAACCAAAGGAAATGGAATTTACATTTGTAAGCCCCTTTTCCCTGTGAGGTCTACTTGCATCTTGCGGCATGAATCTACGATGAATTATAGCAAAAAGTAAAAGCAGAAACAAACAGATGAGCCAAAGAGCTAAGGAAAATGAAATCAACAGAGGATTGGATATGTTGAACCGGCTACAAAAATGCATAGAGGTTGTTGCTGGGGGCTAGGCCAAGTCATTCCTAAAATACGAGAAGACTTAAGAATAATTACATACAACAAATATATAGCAAGGTGATTTATCTCATTAGGTATGTGATGCTGGCAGAAGATTAAGTTCTCCAAAATCTTTTCACAAGTTTATGGCATACATCTTTAGTGCCAACAAAGAACATTCTATAAGTATTCAAAATAATTACAAAAATGGAGCTATGAATGGATCTTACAAATAAACTGTAGGATTCATTAATTAAGGAAAAAATTGTGATTACAAGTATATTTATTAAAAAAAAAATGAAATGTCAAGAAATGCAAACTAAGTAGATAAACAACATTAGAATGTGACAATTCCAAAGACTCTCTGGGATGTTTTCCAGAGTATGATAAAGTACTGAGGACTGAAATCATTATCTAAAGAATCTTTGTGGAACCTTCCTTACAGTTCACACACACAAACTGTCATGGACTTAACTTTGTCTCAACACTTTTTTGATCATCCCAACAAGCACTTATTAGAAAGTATTCCTCAAAAATTTGAGTTGTTTCAAGTCTTTGTTTCATTAAAGCAGCTAAAAAAAGGAATCAAGGAGATGGAGTACATGCCCCAGAGAGGAAAAGCATCCCCTGCTCTCTAGTAAGCAGAAATGGCACCAACAGATAAGGTCAGGCAGCCATGGGAACAGATTCAAAGAACAGAAACCACAGACTTGCTTTTTTATGAATGACAGTGTTTGAGAATGTGACCCCTCTTAACCTCTCCACACCTCCGACATACAGTTGCTTCGACCCAGACAAGAACAGCAACAAGTTTCTATGGGACCTCACTTCACACCTCCGTTTTCTTTCTCATTATCTCATAGATTACAAAGCACATTTCGGCAGAATTTTGCATCCATCTAACCTTTGCCACGCAGACCACATTAATATAGTGAGACAGGTTTATGTACCTCACACATCAGACCTTATCAGGAAACTTGGTAGTGGCAGTTGGATAAGGACATCATACCTTACTGATCTTGTTCTAAAAGCAATAGCAGCCAAACCACTTGTCTTCTCACACTTTGGAATGACCTTGGCCCCTGGCAGCGCCATTTTTAGAGGGAGCAGAGTGTGTCACTGTAGGTACAGTCTGCAGGACATGCTGATGGGCTGTGGCATGCCATACATTTTAATTGTCTTCTTAGAAATTCTAGCTAGATCTGTATGGACTCCAAACATTAACTGAGAAGGGGAGAAAGCAAGATGTGATGCCTAACTTTAACTGCCTAGTTGCTTTTAGCAAGCAGAGTGATGGTTTAGCTGCCAGAAAAAAAAAATCTTGGTAGTCTCCTCCCGTGTTCTCTAGAACACCAAGTATATCATAGACATTCAAGTAATATAATCAGAAGAAGCTTTTTAGTCTGGTACTACAGAATAAAAGCCTCTGGACCAAAAAGAAAAAGAAGAAAAATAAACCTTAAGTAAATATAAAATTAGTTTTACTTATGAAATTCAAGGAAGAATTTCCTGATATAATAGTTCTCATTTTTCTCTTTGAAACTGCTTTTTAAAATAGTCCACAATGTTCTAATTTTTTTTTGAGGTCATTGCTCCCATTCAAACTGGAGGATCATGAGGCGTTCTAAAGAAAACTCATCGTGGCCCAAACATGCTGCTCCCATCTCACTTCCAAGGATTTTTACAAAGTACAGTTTGCACAGTGAAAGGAATTTAACCCCAACTTCAAATGAGTTTTTAACGGAGTTCTGACAGAATTGGAACCAACTGATCACCCAGTCAGTGCTGACCTTCTCAAACTGCACATCTGTTTTCTAGGGTTTAAGACACAGTGCTACTGAATCTCAGTGGTGTAGCAATGCTCCCACATGTATGTGCTGAACTCAACCCAAGTATCATTACACTTAATCATCTCATTAGCTTTAAATAGCTCGCAAAAATCAGCAATGCAGCAACGAACATTCAGGAAAGCTTTCTTTGGATTTTATTTCTGTGGGTATCTCTTAAGTAACTTTCAACTTTTGGGGCTGAAAAGATAAAACACGGTTGGTACAACGTGCGAGTGGTTACATGTAGACAGGAATAAAAACTATTTTAATTCAGAATCGGTCATACAAAATTCTAAGTAAGAAAAAACATCATGGAAAACTTGGACTACTCTGTATCATCCAAATCACTTACTTCATTGCGCAATCGTAAAAAGATAATTGTGTCTCAAAACCAGACAACAGGTTCATAAAATATTTTTCACACCCTTGAGTGATGCTTTGGGGAACAATGGCTTTTTATAAGGGCATTTAGACTGCCATCACTTTTCCAGTGAGTTATGGTGAGCAATATTCTCTTTTTATCTTCTTTCTTTTTTCTCCCGCATGATCTTTTTGCTTTCTTCTCTTCTTCTCTTATTCACTGGATTCCGGGGATCATAGATTTCAAAAGTGTCTTCGTCCTGCATACTTGCATCTTTCACCTTTCTGCTTTTATCCTCAAACTGAAGCACATGGGACATCCTACAGAGAGAGAGAGAGAGAGATGGTTCAATGATTTTGGCGTGACAGAATGGAAGTCTGAAATTCTACACTACGCTATCCTTGGCATAACACACTGCAACTATACTGGCACAGAACACAAAGATGGGCTTATTGTTTACTGGTGCTTTATACCACATGGCAACCGACTTCTCTGAAAACACTTAAATTTAAAAAATATGCCTGGAGCTTGTTCCCCTGGTTTTTATTTCTAGCAGTGACCCCCTTTGCCTTATTTTTCATTTGAGGCACCTTCCCTGATGGAAAAACAAAATAAAACAAAACAAAGCCCTCCTACCCTGGAAATGAAACCATCCACTGTCCTATTTGGAGAACTTCCTTTAAAGGCTGCATTCAAGCAGGCACATGTAGACTGTCCACATCAGGGCCTTCTCTTTCAATCGTTAATTGGGTCAGAGGCAGGGAATGTACTATAAAAATTCAAAACTGATGCCCAAATTTAAGAACTGGGCAACACTGGCTTTATGATGACTTCCTTTTAAGGGGAAATGGATTTTTCTCATGTAAAAGAAGACTAATTTGTGTTCTGGCAATACTTTCTGAGATGATTTCCTCTTCTTAGCATCAATTAAAGCAAATTCAATGATCCTGATATTTTTCTACTTTATCAAATTCTAACTGGCTTAAGGCATCAACACGTGCTTGAGTTAGAAGTACTTATAAGCTGGCTATACTTAGCAGCAGGAAAGTCTGCAAGCATTCAGCTCACCCCCATTAGGAAGTGTCAGTGCTCTGGGAATAACAGCAAAGGAGTCAAAGGACCAAAAAAATATGTATTTTGGGGAACACTACGTTTCCCTATTTTGCATAATCTGGAAGTGCAGTGACCACTCATAGACTGATCCCACTGCTGACTGGCACAGGAGCTTTGGTCATTCTGTTTTTGACCTGGGTAAGCGTGTTACTCTGTAGACAGGCTGGTGGTTCCAGGGGGCTCATCATATTGATACCAGACAGTGCAGACACCTACCTGACCAGGCCAGAGCAATTCAGAATTCCTGTGCTCAAGCCTCTTCGGGAGGAGGAATTACAGGTGTGAGTCACCAGGCCTGGCCCAAGGGACCAAATTTGAGGGCAGTAAAACAAGTGTTAGCAAATATAGAACTTTTAAGATGTTTTCATTAGTTACCTAAATTATGGCTTTTATCTGTACTTTTACAAGACACAAGAAACTGGGATAGAGATGGTCTAACCTTCTGTCTTCAAAGCTACCTGTAAGATTACCACACTCATCACCTGCTTTACGACTTTTCAGATAGAGCTTGTATTATATATTATGTTGTGTTACACATTAATCTCAACCTTCACCCCCCCGCCCAAGAAAAGAGATCATTGAGGCTGTGTTGCTGATAGTACTGATGATGACACAGAAAACTTTATTTGGAAACAGTCATAATGCTCATTATGTGTTGACATCTTAGCCAACACCACCACCAAATGTGGACCCACTACCAATGATGGACAGATAAGCCCAAGAGCCCCAGGAATAGAGTACCTCCTTCACCTCCCTCCAACCACCAGCTCTGCTTTTAGCCCTGCTGCTACAGCCATTGTCCAAGAGGGCAACCCCTGTGAAGATTCAGTAATTCAATTCAATTCAATAAACATTAATTAAGTGTTTGCTCTAAGTCCTGGCAACCACATCTGCAGGTAATGCAGCCCTCACCTCTTCAGAAGCCACATTGCTGAAGACTGGAAAGAAAGTTCTTATCACCAAGGTTCACGATATTGTCAAGTGGCTCAACGTCAGAAACAGATGATGGTTTTGTCAACAGAAACGACATCAAGGAAGACGCATTAACATCTGTTTGTCAGTATACCCTAAGGACCACAGGACCTTTTTATCTAGCATGCAGCTGAAGCCATCTATATGCTGTTTCCCATATCAGAGTGTGAGTTCCTTGAGAATAGTCTTTCTTGTTTTTTTTTTTATTTGTATTTCCAGTGCCTTGTACACGACAAGCAATGAATAGATATTTTTCACTCGTTCATTCATGGTTGGGATTTGCTTGTTTTTCAGATTCATTTAGTTGTGAGGGTGCTGGCTTCCTGCAGGTCACTGCTCTGCATCTTCCATGCCTCGTATTTGCTTCTCATCACATTCAAGTGGATCAAGGATCTCACTGATGTGTGTGTCCTCTAATGATGGGGATACCAATCCATTCATGCCTGCTTGTTCTGGCAAGTTTCGTCCAAGTTTTTCCATGAAACGATTTCTCAGAAATTCTTGGTAAATGTCCCATCCTTTTGGTGTGAAGTTTCCAGGTCACAGGGATGGCCAGTACTTTATCAGTGGCCTTCCAGCCCTGCCCTCAGATATGAATCTTGACTGCAAAGACCACGAAGGCTCAGGAAAGGTTACATCCACCTTGGTACCAATAAATCTTTCAAGCATCCCTGAGGACACCACACCAAGGGAATCTACTGCCAATCATGATAAGCTTTGCATTGATATAAGCAGGTAAAGTCTGAGTCAGACTTGAAGGACCTGAGATGAAAGAAATGAAGACAAATTCCTGCCTGGCCTTCTTGAGTCCCCTTAAGTTCAAGACAAACTGCTTTTTCCCAGGGTATGGCTACGTATAAGGCCTTGAGAGACTCCTTAAAAGGCAGTACATCCATGGATGTCTTCTGTCAGCACATCTCCCTTGGATACAGATCCTGGGTGCTACCTTCCATCTCCCCTGGGCTCCTGTCTTGGTACTGATTGAGCTTCCTGGATTGTGGCAAAAGTTTCAATGATGCCACAGCCTGTCTTTCCAGTCAATCACTCTCAGTTCTCACCTGTGAACTTGCCTGCATCCAGTGACTCCTCCTCTTCTACACCTGTCCCCTCTCCCCTCCCCAGCCCAGTGAAGATCCTTGACCCCTGACTTGTTCTTGTCTTGGCCTTGGCTGACTCAGATTCCCTTGGTATCAATTTCCACCATACCTAACTACGCTCCTATACAAATCCCTCTCATGAACTCAGCCACAATTCTTATATCCTGGCCCTCCACTTTGGCCACACTTCCACATGACAAATCAACATTACCTGCCTGATTCAGCTTGCCCTGTGCTTTGGTGGGCAAGTTCCAGAGTAAGCTCCTGGTTTCAGCCTCGGTGAGCCCAGCCTCTCCTGGGAAGAATCATGGCCACAAAAGCAGAGAGGGTGCACAGGAGCGGGGCAAGAAGAAGGGGTGTCCTCTGATGAATGCGTTAACATTTTATAAAAACACCTGCCCTAGCTCCTCTGTAGTAATCTCACATTTACAACAAGATGTTAATGAGAGATTGTGGCAACTTTAGAGAATGCTTTAGACACCATGCCACTCTGAAGGAGATAACCACTATAATCCACCTCTTTAGAAGGTGTCAGTGGTTGCCCAGGATAAAGAAAACCTTGCAATGATTACTTTCCTCAGTGTCTACATATAATTTAATGTTACTTTTGGGACTAAAGGGAGACAAGCAATATCCTATTAATTTTTTAACTTTGCCAGTACTTAAAATCTTTCCCCTCAGTCCTCTCAAAAACACAAAAAGCCTTACTTAAATATTAAATTTATACCAGGGAATTGACGTGTTAAAAAATGGTGACTGCACCAATTAAATGTAAAACAAGACACTCCCCGAAATATGGTATAGTATCTCACATCTGTTGGATTTAGCTGGCTCCTGAGCAAAACAAGAAATCTAGAAATGCCAACAGCAGCCCAAGGTCCACAAGGGGAAAGAGATTTTCTTATACTACTTGTATAAAATACAAACCCCTAAATTAAAGTGGCCTTTTTCAACTGTTTGTTTCATACACGGCTGCACTAAACATAGCCAACATTTTGATTAATAACAAACCTAAGCCCAGAGGAAAGTGGGGGCTATCAGCTTACAGACTACTTCAGGTTTAATATCATAATGCTTAGTATGGATGGTTACTTTACAATAATATTTAATCTTTTCCTTAATAAAAATAAAAGCATAATCAAAATGGCTTCATGTGTTTATCTTTCACCATGTTTGGGTCACTTCATTTTAAAAAGCCAAAACAAAATCACGCTTGTGATTTTCAGCATAATAAACTCCTGCTCTGTGAGCCTTTATAAATCACAGACACAGTGAATTGAAAGCACGCCCACATTTTACAATCTCCTAGGAGAATACACATGCAGACTGGCTACAGAGACTTGTTCTCATACAAAAAGGTCTCGTAGTTTACAGTCTTGTATGTACCAATAACCCAATGCTACCCATATGGGGCTTGAAACGGCTGATCTAAAATTTAGTCCAACGTTAGCAATTAACCCTTCTGAGACACAGAGATATAAATCATTCTTTTATATCTGAAACTATTGAGGACTACTTCTAACAGTGAAGAGTTCATTTAACATATGACCTGTTTTTTTTTTAACCAAAGATAAAAAAACTCTGATGCATCTTTCAAACTGAGCACAACAAAAATGGGTATCATAGTCTCAAATGCTTAGAGAGGCAGTGTGGCAGAGAGTAGCGAGAAATGGACTCAAGCTCAGGAAGAGATGGGTTCACACAATGCCTCTGGCACATCCTGACTGTTTGACTTTCGGTAAGTCATTATACCCTCTGAGTGGTCCAGGCAGTCTGCTAAAATTATAAATTAAAAGGAAGGGGTTAATTGGCAATGGAGATGGAATTTTTTTTAACCCTGGAGTTCTATCTGGCAATAATAATATGACTTATAATTTTCATATTCTCAACCTTCCACTGAGAAGTGAGTATATAGTAACACCAAAGAGTGCTCCAGATTCCCAAAGATTCTCTTTGCTAGGGTGAGTGATGGGGACTGAAAACTTTAAGATTGCCTAAAGTCTCAGAAACAGACTCATAAGCAAGGTACCACTTCTCTAAGTACCACAGGGTCTCGAATAACCTCATCAAACAGTCTTATCTAATTTTTGGGGTCTCCCACAAGGGTTGTGAAAAAGATTGGGATAGGAAGATTAGTA